TACTTTGATGCAAAGTCAATGACCCTGTGCAACAGACAGACCACTCTGCTGTCTGTAAAAACCTACTACAGCCCGAAGGGAAGTCTACTTGCTGCTGAAGTCTGTGCTGCTGTGAATTGATTCTGAACGCAAGGGAAAACCTCACTCTCATCTATCCTCTGGATGTCTCCATCACATGCAGATACTGCTAGATCACAGCACAGAGCAATAAACTTGCACCAGTCAACAAGCAAAGGCTCTGAAAACTAGGCCAGAAAATGCTGACCCATTTTCCTTGCAGAAAAGATGTGTTCCAAAGTGACCTCTTCTGTCCCATCCTTCACATGCTATGGCTGCCTCCGCTCTGGAATACCTACATGAGCAGGAACAACTTGAAGTATGAAAAAGAGTCTGGCAAGAGCAAATCAACATGTGAGACATGCATGTGAGACAACCTGGTTTCCCATGCACTGAACAACACATCTTCTTTCCCATTAATGCAGGAACACCACTTCCCAGACTGACAGACCCATCCAGCTGCTGGCTGCACACAACTTGCAGTCTAGCAGATCTCCTAAATATTAAACTGGAATGAGTGGGTAGCCAGGGGCTGAACTAAGCATTCAGCCAAGGCTGACTACAACTTTTTCCACTATGACTGACTGCACAAAGACCCACACAAACAGCCCAAATCTACATGAGAATGAAGGGGAACATAGTGGAGATTATTCTCCTATGTGAGGAACAAACCCAAGTCTCTAAAAGTTTAATATCATTTAGAGAGAAATAGGCCTACCCATCAGAGGTGTTACACCAAGATGTGCATCTTAGAGACACCAAGCAGGAAAAAATATTCCAGCTTCAGTCACTAGCAAGTTACTTACCCTGTAACATTCTGATAGCAATAGACACCAACGCAGGTGTGAATTAGCAAAAAAGAAGGGAATAAAAGCGAAGGAAAGAAGCCACAGATGTGGCTGCACATGTCACTTACCATCCGCTGGCTGCTGGAAGTTGACATAGGCATAGCCGAGGGACCGGCGGGTGATCATGTCCCTGCACACCCGAATGGAGAGGACGGGCCCGGCGGGGCTGAACTTCTCATAGAGCATGGCCTCGGTGACATCGGGGTGCAGGTCACCCACATACAGCGACGCCATCGGGTAACTGCTGGCAGCCGCGTTCATCTTCCCCCACCACGTGCTCCCCGCGGGGAACTCACTCGAGTCTTGGGGCTTCTTTAAGTCGAGCTTTTGGTAAATATTTAAACTGG